CTCGGCTGTTGGACTTCTCGGGACGCTGGTGCGGCGGGGCCGGGGCGGGCTCCAGCTGGGGCTCCGCGGCCCCCTGCGGAAGCTGGTGCTGCAGAGCCTCGTGCCGCTGCTCTTGCGCCTGCAAGATCCCAGCAGGGACGCCGCTGAGGTCAGCTGCCCCCCGAGACTGTCCCGCTGCTGTCCCCATCCAGCCTTCTGCATCCCCACCCTGCGCAACTCCAAAGAGTTCTACAAGGACGTCAGGTGCAGGTGTCAAGGGCTCCTAGCTTCCTGGTCTTTCCTGGACCACCTGCCCTGGGCTCCTCCACCCCTCGTCCTGGCTACACCCCAGCCACCTCTTGCCTCTCCCTGACCCCTACCCCTGCTCCCTTCGCCCGTCCTAGAGTTCAGAGTGGACCCTGGCCCGCTGTGATCACGCCCTCCGTTGGGGCCTGCTGGAGGAGATGGTCACCGTGGCCCACTACGACAGCCCTGAGGCCCTAAGCCGCATCTGCCACTGCCTGGTCAGTAGGGGGAGCAGCCACTCGGTCCCGTGTACCCCAGGGCCACTCTCCCAGCCAAGGTGGTGGCAGGTCTAAGACCTCAGGCCCTGATGCCGTGCCTTGGGGGTTCGCCAGGGGGTCCCAGCTCCTGGGCTCACCTTTGCCACCTTCTCTCCATATGGGATTGGCCCTTCCATACTGCCATAAGCCTGTCTGTCCCCAGGTTCAGCAGTACCCGAGTCACATCCCCAGCTTTCTGAGCCAGACCCAGGGCTACCTGCGGAGCCCGCAGGACCCCTTGCGCTGGGCAGCTGCTGTGCTCCTAGGTGAGGCAGGACTGGAGTCACACTGTCTCTTGAACTCAGAGTTCTGGGAGCTGGACCGGCCCCTCCCTGGTGGGGCCTGGGGCCGGCACTCACTGGTTTGCCTTGGTCCAGGCTTCCTCGTCCATCACACAAGCCCCAGCCGGGTCAACCAGGACCTGCTGGACTCCCTGTTCCAGGGTAAGGACCCAGCTCGCTGGCCAGGGTTGGGGTCCTAGAGAGGCTGTGGGTGCTAGGACGGAGTGGATGGGAATGGATGGGTGGAGGGCCAGGAGTCTGGGGTACTTAGCGGTTCTGAGAGTCTTGCAACCCTGCCCGAGACGCCCTGTCCCTGCAGACCTGGGGCAGCTGCAGAATGATCCAGAGCCAGCCGTCGTCGCCGCGGCTCAAGTGTCCGCCCAACAGGTGGCGCTGCTGGCCCGCGCACAGCCGGGGCCGCGCCTCCCGCGCCTCCCGCGTCTCCTCCGCCTGGGCCTCTGGCGCCGCGCGGGTCCCCACCGACCCCCACCAGTCTACGCGAGCAGTCCATTCCAGCCCCGGAGCGTCGTGGGCCGCTGGGGCTGCTTGGGATCCGGCTGTGCCTGACCCCAAGCCAGCCCGCAGGGTACCTGGGTCTGAGGCAGGCACCGCACTGCTCTGTGGTTCATCCTGGGTGGGGGGTGGGGGGAGCGATCCGCAGAAGAGGCTCCGCTCCAGGGGCCCCTGGACCCGGGACCAGATGCTGTGAGCAAGCCCCCTCCCCCTCTCCTGCACTCAAATCCTCCAGGCCCAGGGCCACGACGGCCTGTGAGCTGGGATGGAGACGCCTCCTGTCCTGAGTACTGTTTCAGCTTGGGTGAATCCGTCCCCACTCAGGCCAGACCTGTTGCTCTCCAAGCGCCCAGGAGTGTGCCCCCACCTCTGCCAACTTCAGCCTGGGCTCCCGAGCTGGGGTCTGGTTGGGGACACTGTGAAACTAGCCCAGCCCGGGGAGCTGGTGCCCTGGCAGGCTGCCTGCTCTCCGGGTCTCTGTCTCTGCGCACAGCCTGGCTCGGGCTCCCCTGCCTTCCTTGGCACCCCTGCCTGGCAGCCCATCATCCTCCATCATGTGTCCACTCATCACCGGCCTGTCCCCACATCCCCACACCCTCACCCCTGCTAGCCTGCCAGACCTCACCTGAACCTTCTCCAGGAGGTTCTCCGGACCGCCCCACGGGACACCACAGGCTTGGGATGATACCTGTGGGCTCAGGTGTGGGGTGCCGACATCTGCACCCCACTAGACGCTCCCCCGTGCCCTGTGTGGGCTCAAATGATGAGAGCATGACCGAACATGCAGAGAAACAGCCCCTCTGTTGTGACTGAGCCTCTCTGGGCCGTTCAAGGCCCTCCACCTAGCCACTTCAGAGAGGCCTTGGTTCGCACAGCCTTTTGGAGGGGCTGGGAGCAGTCCCCCCCAGACTGGAGACCCCTGGGGTCCTGTCCACCCACTACAGAAAGTGTTTAAAATAAACACAGGTGGATTTAAAGACTCTGGCGTCTTTCTGGAGACTGGGTCTGAGCCAAGGATGAAGTTCTGATGACCGTGGCCTGGTCCAACATTGCGCTCAGGCTGTGGTTATAGATAAGGCAGCGTGTAGCCAGGAAAGAGGGTCAGCCAGGTTCAGGGTCCAGGCTTGTGACTCAGGGCTTACCTTGAGTCAAAGAGCAAGTTTGAGGGATGCCTGGGTGGCTCAGTTGGTTGAGCATCTGACTTCGGCTCAGGTCATGATCTCGCGGTTTGTGAGTTCCAGCCCCGCGTCGGGCTCTGTGCTGACAGCTCGGAGCCTGGAGCTGCTTCGGATTCCACGTCTCCCTCTCTCTCTGCCCCTCCCTGTCTTACGCTCTGTCTCTTTCTCAAAATGAATAAACATTAAAGTAAAAACATTAAAAGGAAAAAAAAAGCAAGTTTGGGAGCTCAGGCAGGAAGGAGCTGGGGTCTCTCTTTAGAGCATTTCTAGGGCCAGGCAGGGTCAGGCCAAGGCCATGTGTGGTTTGGTGTATTTGTTCAGAGCCTCCAAAGCAGATGCCAGAACAAGGTTAAAGTGCGTAAAACCTTGGGTTGCAAGGAACTTGTTCTGCAAGTGTTCCGCAAGACAAGCAAACATTTCTAATAAATTTTAACTTGACAAATGAACGATGTCTTGCAATACAAGTAGTATGTGATGCTGAATGTCACATGATCATAACTGAGCCAATGGTTCTCTCTCTCTCTCTCTCTCTCTCTCTCTCTCTCTCTCTGTGCAATTGTGGCCCATGCTTGGATGCTCGGTCTCAGGCTGCAGCGTTTGACAGAAATCAGTGATTTTTCAGAATGCCGGAAGGTGCCTGTCACTGGAACTAGTGTATTTTTCGTCACTTCAAAGCACCTGTGGACAGTCCTTTGCTTTTCCAGACAAGCATGAGCTTAGGAATGCTTTGCCTCATTCTAGGTCAGGCTGCCTTAGATAGAGACCCTTTCCTCTGCTGCTGTTGAGTAAGAAGTTGCTGCGGCCGAGGTCAAAGAGGTTTTTGCCTGCTTTCTCCTCGAGGATTTTGACAGCTTCCTGTCTTACGTTTAGGCCTTTCATCCATTTTGAGGTTATTTTTGTGTCTGGTGTAAGAAAGTGGTCCAGGTTCATTCTTCCGCATGTCGCTGTCCAGTGTTCCCAGCACCACTTGCTGAAGAGACTGTCTTTATTCCATCGGATATTCTTTCCTGCTTTGCCAAAGATTAGTTGGCCATACGTTTGTGGGTCCATCTCGGGGTTCTCCGTTCTGTTCCATTGATCTGAGTGTCTGTTCTTGTGCCGGTACCATACTGTCTTGATGATGACAGCTTTGTAGTACAGCTTGAAGTCCGGGATTGTGATGCCTCCAGCTTTGGTTTTCTTTTTCAGGATTGCTTTGGCTATTCGGGGTCTTTTGTGGTTCCATACAAATCTTAGGATTGTTTGTTCTAGCTCTGTGAAGAATGCTGGTGTTATTTTGATAGGGATTGCATGAATATGTAGATTGCTTTGGGTAGTGTCGACATTTTAATAATATTTCTTCTTCCAATCTATGAGCATGGAATGTTTTTCCATTTTTTATGTCTTTTTCAATTTCTCTCACAAGCTTTCTATAGTTTTCAGTGTATAGATTTTTCACCTCTTTGGTTAGGTTTATTCCTAAGTGTTTTATGCTTTCTGGTGCAATTGTAAATGGGATCAATTCCTTGATTTCTCTTTCTGCTGCTTCATTATTGGTGTATAGAAATTCAACCGATTTCTGTGCATTAATTTTATATCCTGCAACTGTACTGAATTTATGGATCAGTTACAGCAGTTTTTTGGTGGAGTCTTTTGGGTTTTCCATATAGGGTATCATGTCGTGGGCGGAAAGTGAAAGTTTGACTTTCTCCTGGCCGATTTGGATGCCTTTTATTTCTTTGTGTTATCTGATTGCTGAGGCTAAGACTTCCAACACTATGTTGAATAACAGTGGCGAGAGTGGGCATCCCTGTCTTGTTCCTGACCTTAGGTGGAAAGCTCTAAGTTTTGGGTGGTATTAGCGGTGGGTCTTTCACATATGGCTTTTACCATCTTGAGGTATGATCCTTCTATCCATACTTTCTTGAGGGTTTTTGTCAAGAAAGGATGCTTTATTTTGTCAAATCCTTTGTCTGCATCTATTGAGAGGACCATGTGGTTCTTGTCCTTTCTTTTATTGATGTGATGAATCACAGTGATTGATTTGCGGATATTGAACCAGCCCTGCATCCCAGGTGTAAATCCTACTTGATCGTGGTGGATAATTCTTTCAATGTATTGTAATTGGCCTGTCCTTCTCCTTTCTGGTGGGGTCTTTGTCTGGTTTTGGAATCAAGGTAATGCTGGCCTCATAGAAAGAGTTTGGAAGTAGTCCTTCCACTTCTATTTTTTGGAACAGCTTCAAGAGAATAGGTGCTAACTCTTCTTAAATGTTTGGTAGAATTCCCCTGGAAAGCCATCTGGCCCTGGACTCTTGTTTTTTGGGAGATTTTTGATTACTGATTCAACTTCTTTACTGGTTATGGGTCTGTTCAAATTCTCTATTTCTTCCTGTTTCAGTTTTGGTAGTGTATATGTTTCTAGGAATTTGTCCATTTCTTCCAGATTGCCCATTTTATTGGCATATAATTGCTCATAATATTCTCTTATTATTGTTTTTATTTCTGCTGTGTTGGTTGTGATCTCTCCTCTTCCATTCTTGATTTTATTTCTTTGGGTCCTTTTTCTTTTTGATCAAACTGGCTAGGGGGGTTATCAATTTTGTTAATTCTTTCAAAGAACCAGCTCCTGGTTTTCATTGATCTGTTCTACTCTGTGTTTGTTTTCGATAGCATTGATTTCTGCTCTAATCTTTATTATTTCCTGTCTTCTGCTGGTTTTTGGTTTTATTTGCTGTTCTTTTTCCAGCTCTTTAAGATGTAAGGTTAGCTTGTGTATCTGAGACCTTTCTTTCTTCTTTAGGAAGGCCTGGACTGCTATGTACTTTCCTCTTATGAACGCCTTTGCTGGATCCCAGAGGTTTTGGGCTGTGGTGTTATCACGTTCATTGGCTTCCATGTACTTTTAAATTTCCTCTTTAACTTCCTGGCTAGTAGGATGTTCTTTAATCTCCAAGTATTTGTTGTCTTTCCAAATTTTTTCTTGTGGTTGATTTCAAGTTTCATAGCGTTGTGGTCTGAAAATATGCATGGTATGATCTCAGTCTTTTTGTAATTGTTGAGGGCTAATTTGTGTCCCAGTGTGTGATCTATTCTGGAGAATGCTCCATGTGCACTCAAGAAGAATGTATATTCCTCTGTTTTAGGATGAAATGTTCTGAATATATCTGTTAAGTCCATCCGGTTCAGGGTGTCATTCAAAGCCATTGTTTCCTTGTTGATTTTCTGTTTAGGTGATCTGTCCATTGTTGTAAGTGGGGTGTTCAAGTCCCCTACTATTATGGTATTATTATCAATGAGTTGCTTTATGTTTGTGATTAATTGATTTATATGTTTGGGTGCTTCTTGTTGGGGGCATAAATGTTCACAATTTTTAGATTTTTTTTTTCTTGGTGGATAGACCCCTTAATTATGATATAATGTTCTTCTTCGTCTCTTGTTACAGTCTTTATTTTAAAGTCTAGATTGTCTGATATAAGTATGGCTACTCTGGCTTTCTTTTGTAGACCATTAGCATGATAGATGGTTCTCTATCCCCTTACTTTCAATCTGAAGGTGTCTTTAGGTCTAAAGTGGGTCTCTTGTAAACAGCATATAGATGGATCTTGTTTTCTTATCCATTCTGTTACCCTATGTCTTTTGATTAGAGTGTTTAGTCCATTGACATTTAGAGTGTGAACTGAAAGATATGAATCTATTGCCACCGTGTTGCCTATAGAGTGGGAGTTTCTGGTGATTTTCTCTTGTACTTTCTAGTCTTTGTTACTTTTGGTCTTTTTGTTTTGTTTTGCTTTTTTTCTCCTCTCAGAGAGTCCCCCTTAAAATTTCTTGCAGGGCTAGTTTAGTGGTCATGAACTCCTTTAGTTTTTGTTTGAGAAATTCTTTTTTTTTTTTTAAT